GAATTGATTTGAGCTGTGAATTCGTTTTTATTCCCGACGAAATCGATGTATAAAAATAACTAATGTATATTATTATATAGATCAATGTAGTAATTACTGAATCGATTTTTTTGGACAATTAGGAAGATAACGATATTGAGCTATATATAAAGAATAAGCATTACTCCACATGAGACCAAAATGCCCCTATGTATACGTAGTTGAGGGAGAAATGATCCACTCATAACCGAATGCAAACTGTCACTTCAGCTTATCCATAGTTAACTACTCTTCTATTATCCATTAAGACCCAACAAAAAGTGGTTTACTATTACAACGATATATAATTTAAGCAATGAGTTAGGGCTTCGCAATGTAAACATGAGATAACAAATTCAGTCTTGTCTCAAAATTTATTTATTTTTGTTATCATTATCCACATAAATTTTAACGAAACATTCTCACTATAATAGTGGACAACATATAAACACATTAAAATCCATTCTCACTATAATGTTTGCAGAGGGGAAAAAAACAAATGTACACGTAAAATGTAAGCAAATTTCATGTTCACAGTAATATATGAAGATACAAGTTACAAAAGAGCCATTTGCCTCAAATGATTTCTACATACACTCAATTTTTCAGAGGAAACATATCAAACCGCAAAGCTATACTTCATGGCTTGTGTTTTCATTGATCTCTGGCTTTGCTCTCTATTCTAATCAATTCCTGCAAATTCATAACAATACACATATCAACATCTTCTAAACTTGTGCAAAATCATTGTGTTTCACTACTCTTCTTTTTACCTTTCTTTTGGCAGCAAGAGTTTGCATTTGCGTTTCTTTCTTTTCTCGGGAGCATTCACCGCACCAGTTCGGGAATCCCTTCTGATAAGTTTTCATCTCTCTGAAAATAGAGCTGTAATATAGAAAACCAGGAGTAACGTGATTCGATAGTGATCTAAAATCCCTGAGGCAAAAGTTTCAATAATTGTTTACCTTCTGCACCAAAGAATCATATTGACCCGATGACCAGATATTGTGGCTCTGGCACCATGGCGATGGCGGCCACGGTGAAGTATTGCTTGACCCGGTATATGAGAGTAATCAAATGTTTCCTGCTTTAGTGAGAAATTGTTGTTTACTTTATTCCTTGAACCATTGACACATTTACGGAATGTAAT